TGGGGGAGGGTCAGTTTCCTTCAGGGTTGCAGCCTGGAGGATAGCCATGCTCCAGTAAGTTGTCTTACACCCACACGCATGAAGCTGGGGAGGAATATCAGGAGAGAGTTAGGAGAGACATTGACGAGATCTCAGGTGCCTGACACATGACCTTCAGTGTAGCTGGAAGTTTTCCTGTGTCCCGCCCGGTACTGCAGTCACTCAGACCCAAGTAAACACACAGAGGCTTATATCAATTATATCAACTGAGGGGAGGGGGGTATGCCTCAAGATTCTTGCTAGCTAGCTCTTATATCTTGTTAACCCATTTCTATTAATTTATAAGTTGCCATGTGGCCGTAGCTTACCGATATTATCACATCTTGCTTCTCCTGCTGCCGGCTCACAGTGCCTCTTTCCTCTCCTTTCTCCTCCCACTGTCTCTTGGATTTTCCCGCCTGGCTCCATCCTGCCCTGCCATAGGCCAATGCAGCTTTATTTATTAACCAATCAGAGCAACACATATTCACAGCATACAGAAAGACATCTCACAGCACTCCAGGCCCCAGCTAATTGTTGAGCTAGACACTTGACTCCAAGGTGCAATGACGGGGGCCAGCTTTACCTGCCCACATGAAATAGTTTTCAAACCAGATAAAATGTGAGAAACAATGGTTCTCAGACCCTGATCATGAAGCAGTGATTGGACAGCAATCTCTGAGGCAGAGAAAACAGCATGTGTGCCCCATGATCATCCCATTTCACTGCCTAAAGAGAGGTCTCGCCGGGCGGTGGTGGCGCACACCTTTAATCCCAGCACTCGGGAGGCAGAGCCAGGTGGATCTCTGTGAGTTCGAGGCCAGCCTGGGCTACCAAGTGAGTTCCAGGAAAGGTGCAAAGCTACACAGAGAAACCCTGTCTCGAAAAACCAAAAGAGAGAGAGAGAGAGAGAGAGAGAGAGAGAGAGAGAGAGAGAGAGAGAGAGAGAGAGAGGTCTCGACTATGACTCAGGAACTGGGAATCTAGGTGAATGTCACATTTTTGCTGAACTCAGGGTCTGGGGAGGCCAGAGCAATGAGAATCGGTGTAGCATACCAAAGAGGAAACTACTGCCTAGAGGGATCGTCCTGAGACTTACAGATTTCTCCCTCTTCATTGTTCAGGGGAATCTGAGTCACAGTGTGTGTGTGTGGGGGGGGGGGGTGTAACTGAGATGAGAGCTTTGAAAAAACACAAATTTCCATCATTTTCTTTGAGCATACTCATATTCTGATTTGAAAAAATAAACAAAAACATCAAAAGTTATAAGGTTTTTAAATGTGTCAGTAAATCGCATCTTTTCTCGCAAAGATCATTTCGTAGGTGTCTGTCTGTTGCCACCAAAGACTTTTTTTTTCCAGACAGTGAAATTGATGCTTTTATTCAGATCTCTAAGAGCAACACAATTAACATTAGAAACAATTATAGGTTTTTGTTTGTTTGCTGTTGGTGGTGGTTTTTCTTTCTTTCTTTCTCTTCTTTTTCTTTTTTCTTTCTTTCTTTTTTTTTTTTTAATACCAAAGACTCTTAACCAACACACCTTATAATTCCACTTCTTGGTTTATCTTTAGAAATCAAAAAAGGCTTCCAGTAACTTTTGGTTATGAGAGGGGTTATCATTTTAATGTGTATAAATGACAAAAGTTAGAAACAAGCTAGGTAAAGATTTTTCTATGTAAATTATAATAACATTCATTCTATAAAATACTGTGTAATAACTAACAAGACATTTTAGCATCTCACTTGTTGACACAGAAATATACTCATAAATACTGAAGTTTTAAAACCAGGGTACAAAGCAGATTTGTGCAGAATTTCTACATAAAACAGAACATACATATAATGTCTGGAAAACTGATTCTCCAAATCCCAGTAAGTCTCTTTGCTGGCTTATATACTTCCAGGAGTGTGTGAGTGTGTGTGTGTGTGTGTGTGTGTGTGTGTGTGTGTGTGTGTGTGAGAGAGAGAGAGAGAGAGAGAGAGAGAGAGAGAGAGAGAGAGAGAGAGTCTATCTGTCTGTCTCTCTGTGGTGTCTCTGTGTGTACCCCAGTCTCCAGATTTAAAACAAACACACAAACAGGAAACTAGTACACCTACAGTCAGCTTTCATTTATTATTCAGATAAAACTTCCATTTCCCCAGTCCTTAGATCTCTAATCAGTGTCATTTAATACATTAAGACAATTGTACACATTCACCAATAATAACCACTAAACAAAAGACTGCTTTTCCACTAATATCCTCAGGGAGAAATTTTGCATAGTTAAAATGATATGCCCGCCCAATAAAATAGGAGCAGAGTAGTTTTATAAATTCACTAAGATACACTGGAACAGCTTTCCAAGTGTCTGGCTGATCCAATGCCTTGGCAAACACTGACAGTGACCTATGTCCGGAGGGAATGAACACATGTCATGCCTAACAATTTGATGTCCCAGATTTACCAGAACAGACCTAATTTGTTTTTCCACAACTAAGGTCATTCCTTTGTTGGCATTTGACTTTCATGCCCTGGAAGATTTTTTTTTTTCCTGTAAATAAATTAGTGTATTTGAGTAAAAGATCTTTAGCTAGATTACAAATTATAATTTAAAAACTATTTTTAGATTCATTTTTATTTTATGTTTATGAGTGTTTTGCCTGCATGCATCTAAGTGTACCATGTGCACGCCTAGTGTCCCCAGAGGGCAGGAGAGGTGTCAGACCCCCTGGAACTGGAGTTACAGACCAGTGTGGGCTGAAAATTGAACCCAGGTCCTCTGCAAGAGAAGTAAGTGTTCTTAACTACTGAGCCTTCTCTTCAGCCCCCAAATTATAATTTTTACTTAAAAAAAGATGATCACCAAGGCATCAGGGCTGGAACAACTAATGCCCAAGTAGGGTAATTTCATACTGGTAAGCACAGTAGACTTACAAAGAGATATGAATGTTTTAGATATTAAAGATCCAGTAGAGGTCTGGAAAGATGGCTCTGTGGATTAAGAGCAGGATGCTTCTGCAGAAGACAGGAGTCACATTTGAGCACCCACGTAAGGTGGCCACAACCCCATGTAACACCAGGCCCAGGGAAATTTTCTGGCCTCTTCGGGGGGGGGGGGGTACCCTTATACATGTGAATATAGAAACATACACATAAACAGAAAAAAAATGAATACTTTTAAAAATACATTTGGGCCCAGGCATGGTGGAACATATCTTTAATTCCAGCATTCTGGAGGCAGAGGCAGATCTCTTGAGTTCCAGCCCAGACTGGTCTACATAGTGAGTTCCAGGCCAGCCAGAGCTACACACTGAGATTCTGTACTTAAAGTTTAGAAACTACAATGTTGAATTCTCAGTTTGCATCATAAGTATTTATGATCCAAAACACAACAGGTGACTATAGATCATAATAACCCTATATATCTATCTTATGAGGAATTAGAAGAAAGGAACTTTAGTGCTCCCAAAATGGAGACAACATATGGAGATGCAAGTGCTAATTGCCCTGAGTGGGTCAGAGTATACTACATGCATATGTTGTGTAGCTGGAGAGTTTTCTCTCAAGGTCCTGCCAAGCCCCAGCAGTCCGACAGCCCACTTATAATATAAACACACAGATGCTTAAATTATTTAAACTGTTTGGCCTAATGGCTCAGGCTTCTAGCTATCTAGTTTTTACATCTTAAATTAATCCATTTCTATAAATCTATACCTTACCACATGACTCATAGCTTACCAGCATCTTCACATGCTACTTGTCATGGCGACGGCTGGCAGTGTCTCCCTCCGCCTTCCTGTTCTCCCCATTCTCCTCTCTGTTAGTTCCGCCTATACTTCCTGCCTGGCTACTGGCCAATCAGTGTTTTATTTATTGACCAATCAGAGCAACACATTTGACATACAGACCATCCCACAGCACTGTTAGACTATCACAGTGGACCCTGTTGATATACAAAATTACTTCATGTTAATAGCAAATAAAATAATACTATGCAAGTTAAAAATATTACAGAAAATGGAGCTGTCCTGCATAAAGAGGATATGAAAAGCAGAAGTCTTAGAAATTTGGTTGGTTAGTCTTGCTTTTATTTATAACAGGAAAATTAGAAGAAGAAAAGGTGGAAGTTGCTAAGAGTTTCCCAGTAAAAAGAACTTCTAGTAGAAGGCTGGTATGGTGGTCATACATGTAATTCAACACTGGAGAAGTGAGTTCTAGGTTTGCCTGGGCTATATGAAAAGGCACTTTCCTCCCCCTGAAAAAAGCAATGTCAGCATACTGTGTTTTTCCATACTGTGAAGAGCAGACTGTGTTTTCCCATATACTGTGAAGAATGTCTCACAACGAATCATCAGCAGAATAACATCCCCTTTCTAGCCTTGCATGGGTTACAAGAGGTCAGAGTCAGGTCAGCATCAGAGTGGAGAGGACAAACTCTATCACACTGGAGACGATGAAGCACAGGGCCAGAAAGAGAGGCCAAGGTCTGATACTGTTGGATATGGAACTGCTGGAGGAGCTGAGCCGGAGTCTGGAGAGCCCCACCAGCTAGAGCAGGACTGCCTGCCTTCTTTACTGGCTAGCAGCTGTAGTATCTCAACTCTGAGGGTCAGAGTTCTTTAAAGAGTCAGAATTACTAAAATAATTAAATTTAGAATGTGTGGATTTTGTTAAGCTTGTGAGAACAGTTTTTATTAAAATTTTTATCAACTGCATTACATATTATAAATTGTCTTATTATTTGAATTTTCTTTCTTTTTTCTCTTTTGGATTTTTTGAGGCAGGGTTTCTGTGTAGCCCTGGCTGTCCTGGACTCTCTCTATAGACCAGGCTGACCTCAAACTCAGAGATCCACCTGCCTCTGCCTCCTAATGCTGGGATTAAAGGTGTATACCACCACTGCCCAGTACTATCTGTATTTTTTATTAAAAATGTTTACTATTGGGCTATTGCAAATCCCACCAGGCAAGAATAAGACCACTACCACAATTTTTGGGCCAAATTTGAAGCAAGCTTTATTAAACACTGGCTAGGACAATGGACACTGGCCAGGTCCATACATGGGATTCCCAGAGTATGGCACTAAACTACATTAGGCAGGGGCTTGTAAAGGCAAAAACCCACAAGGCTATAAATTTCCTTCCTTCATCTAATCAGGGTCAAGCATGTGTCCTGATGTACTTCCTGTCAATGTGCCTCCCATCTACATGTGATCAAGCACGTCCTGTGCAGTTGGGGCAACCAAGCATGTTTAGAGAAGCAAAAACATGTGGCTTGTTATCCTACATGAACAACAGCCCCCAGCATTCCAGGGAGGTGTATTGTCCTTTGGCAAGTGGAGCTTACAGGTTAGAGGTATTTTTGCTTTATAGATCTCTTAAGCATAGTAATTTAAACTTAAACCATAATTAACCATCACATTTCCCAACTGAGTTGTATCCTGAATCAAATTCTTTACTCTGTGGTGAGTACCTGTTCATATTGGGATCTAATAACCATCAGTTTAATGGCACCCAAATGGAAATTTATGTATCTAGTTAAGGCGTTAATGATGCAAGGGCCAATAATAGTTAGCAGAAACAGAAGGGCCAAAGGTTCTGTGATAGCTGACATCAGAGTTACTATCTAGAAGGAGCCTGAAAATGAGAATGGGAACAGTCATTTATTTCATCTCTGGTTCCCCCCACACACACACTTTTGCAATGTTTTTTTAGTACAGTCAAATTATCTCTAATGATTCCCAAGTAGTTTGTACAGAAACAACAATTTTCTCTTAAAGCCATACAATAACTTTCTAGTTTTACATGGAGCAGGCTGAGTGCCCTATCATATTATAGAACTACTTCAGCTAATGAATCAGCTGATTAATCTTGGTCTATTTAGTTTTAACAGCCTTTCCTGGCTTTCCAATATGCTCTATATGTAACCATTTTATTCCCTTTGCCAGAGAGTTTCCTTTGGACCTAATATTCCAGCCTTGAAGACAATGGGCAATGTACTTTCTTCTGTAACTACTTCCTACTGAAATTAGGAAGTTGTTGTCAGTGCCCAGGAAAGCTGGGATGCCAGTCAAAGGCTGGGAGGGCATTCAAGCAATGAGGTACTCATCAGAAGCATCTAGTTCGTTGAAACAGCTGAAGAGACAGGAAGCAACCACATTGGTTGGGCTGGTTCATATCAGCTTTCAGCAAATCCAGAGCTATCAGCAATTTGGAGCAGTTTGTAGTCCAGAGCTGATTCCTGGGTGGTGTCTGTCAGTCAAATGGAAATCTGCTGGGACAGATAGGGATAGAAGTTAAAGTTTAGGAACTTAAAATCTTACATTTGGAACTTTCGGGCCAATAGTCCTGGTAGTTGGGGGAGGGGAGGAGTCCGAAGACCAGGGGAGAGAGCTCTTGCACTCAGGAATAGACAGGTGTGGAAACTTAGGCAATTGACTGACCAGAGTACTTATCTGGAGTCCATCTGACCTGTGAGAGATGGATTCAAGCCTCCTCTGACTCCTTGAAGTTCACATGAATTTTTAATATACAAAAAGAAATAAAAGTCTTAGATGTGTTAGCATTATCACTATTTATAATCTGTACTGAAATCTACATTGTAGAAAAACAGCTAACCAATGTGTGGTACTTTGAATGTGTCTCATTCTCTTCCTGCAGCCTGAGGATCTAGATGTAGAACTCTCAGCTCCTTCTCCAGCACCATGTCTGCCTGCATGCCACCATGCTTCCCACCATGAGGATAATGGACCATACCTTTGAACAGTAAGCCAGTTCCAATGAAATATTTTCCTTTATAAGAGTCACTGTGGTCATGGTCATGGTGTCTCTTCACAGCAACAGAAATCCTAAGACACTGGGATTTATAGCAGGAAATATCCATCAAAATGGTAGAGACTTATCCACTACCAGATGGTTGCCCATGGTCTCAATGGCTTTGTTGGGGGCAGTGGTCAGTCTTCAGAGGTCATATAGGACAGCATTAAACCTTCAGCTACTGTAAAGGATGGCATCGGCATTCAGCTGCCCAAGGTAATTTGGGCGGGGGGGGGGGTGTGTGTGTGTCTAGAAACAGTAAATGAAAGGCCTGGACCTGTGAGGGCCCAAGGAGGGAAAAGGAAGAATGATTCAGAAGGTCCAAGAGGTAGTGGGTGTAACATACAGTGATTGGCTGAAACAGGGTGATCTTGAGGGTCTCCTGGGTGAGTCTGGCTGCCTCTGCTAGATCTCTCAAAGATGGCTGTCATCCACACACAGTGGGGTCTAGCTGCTTGGCCAGGAAAGCAACAGCCCAAATTGAGGGCCCAACGGTTAGGTTAGAACCCTGTGAGCTCTCTCACCTTTTCTTCTGTAAGAGGTGGTAGGGGTGGGTGGAGTCCAGGAGAGCCAGGGCAGGGACCATTAGGAGGGCATCCTGCAGTAAAGAGAAGTTGTGGTGGACGGGTGGGTGAGGGGCCCTATGAGGGTCTCTCTGGCTGCCTGGTACAGGGGCTTGGCTGTGATGGGAAAGTTAGGGATACAGTGACAGAAGAATACCATCGGGCCCCAAAATGAGAGAATCTGGTCCTAAGTGGTCAGGGGCTATGTCAACTCTTGGAGCTTGTCAAAATTAAGGACTTTGTTCAAGACCATCTTCATACCCTGAAAGAGGCAGCAGGCCATGAGGTCCCTCTTCTGGTGGCCATTTTGACCCTGCCAGTAGTCCCAGTTGGGTTCTATAGCTGGCACTAACTAACCGCTAACCCACAGGGACCATATTGTCCACCAGGTGGGTCTGGTCTGTGTACTGTCTGAACTGCTGCCTGAACCTGACCTTGCTCCTCGGGAGTGAAAGTGGAGGCCTCGACGACATAAAGGTCATGCCAGGTCAGGTCACCGGCTTGGGAAAGATAACAGAACTCCTTAATATAAGCAGAAGGGTTAGCAGAAAAGGAGCCTGACCGCTTTTCAATCTGTGAGAGGTCCTGAAGGGAGAAAGGGATGTGGACTCGAACCGTTCCCTCCACACCGGTCACCTCTTGGAGGGCGCTGAGGAGGGCAGGGGTCTGCCAAGACCACTTATGAGAAGCCACCAGGGAGGATTCAGGGAGAGTAGGTCAGTGTGTGGACAGGGACCAGGGTGCAGGGTGTGGCGTTTTAGAAGGGGGAGGGAGACCCGGAGCCTGCAGTGACAGAGCTAAGAAGGAAGGGCAGTACCAGGAGGGAGAGGAAGAGAGGGAGGTGGGGAAGGAGATGGTTCTTCCATCTTTGTCCCGAAGCGGGAAGAAGAGGGAAGGGCTCGGTACCGGGAAGAAGGTTGGCCACTAGGTGATGCATGTGGTTGTGTAGGAGGGGGAGGGGCAGGTGGGGTTGGGGGAAGGGGCGGGGGGGGGGGGGGGGGGGGGGGGGGGGGGGGGGGGGGGGGGGGGGGTGGCGGAAGCGGGGAGGAGCGTACCAGAGATTCAGGCGGCTCAGTCAGGGCAGGGGGCTCAGGGTCCGAATCCCTGGATGAATGGGTGTCTGGAGATGCTGCAACCCTAGCCAACAAGACCTGAGCTGTTGAGCACTGGCTACAGAAAGAGGGACAGGAGCTCAGAACCCAAAAACCCTTCAAGATCACAGAGGATATGTTCAAGTCAAGAGGGCCCTCTGGTGGCCACTTTGACTGTTTATCAAGCATGTACTGAGGCCAGGCCACAGAACAAAAGAAAACCAGGCATTTGGGGCATACGTGTGAGACAGCCCCAATTTGGATAAACTTCACAGCAGACACCCCAGGGGTGGCTGGGGATCAGGTTTAGGCCGGGTGCTGCCCATTTCCAAGCCTGTGTGGGAAACCAAAGACTAGGGCATGGTGTCCCATGCAACAGCCTGGGGTCGATAAGTGGGGGTGGGGTAGCATTCGAGAAGGACATCTCGAAACCCAAAGGCTCCCCAGAACAGAGACTATCTCTGCTCCTGAATGGAAAGGGCTTGCCCTGGTGCATCCACTGCTTGACACAAGATCCTGGAGATCCTGGACCCAGACGGCAATACCTGGTATCTCTTTAGGTGGTGGCTGGGAAATGCATTTACCCCAAGTTGAAACCTGATTGCATTTGGTGGAAAGAAAGACAGAAGGAGAGTAACAGCCCCCCATGTGGTCAGAGGACCTGGTCCACTGGGTTGGGGGCTCAACTCCTCCTGGATTTTCAACATCAAAATAGTAAGTTTCTCCACTGACACAGTAAGCCAGATCAAGTTGAACTGAAAAACAACGGGTTTATTGGAGAGCAACTCCCAGGTGGGTTCTCTGGTCCCAGAGACCTAGGCTGGAGAAGTCACACCCCTGAACTAAAGCAGGGAGATTTTATAGGTTGTAGATGAGGGGTGATGACCTATCTGCCACAGACTGGGTTTGTGCCCAAGTGTGGTCAAAAGACGAGTGCTTAGGCAGGAACTTGGACGGCTGGCAACTTCGGGGAGGGGAAGTGGCCATCGTTGGCAGGAAGGCAGAAGTGGGCTTTTTGGTGCCTTTCCTTTGTTCAGAGACTCTCTTAGCAGGCAGGAGAGAGACAGAGAGAAGGAGAGAGAGAGAGGGAGAATGGAGCTTTCTGGATTGTGCAGGGGTGAGCAAGAGGCTCCAACCAAACACAGTTTTTCCTTTTCTACCCCTAAATCTCATGACTCACAAGCAACAAATTTTCCACTGCATTTGTGGTTCTTGTTGGCCCTTGCCTTTCCTAAAAAAAACATTCTGTACCAGCTTCCATTTGAAGTGTTCTCAATTTCTTTCTATTTATTGTATGTGTGTGTGTGTGTGTGTGTGTGTGTGTGTGTGTGTTTGTTTGTTTAATGTGTATGTTTTGCCTGCATGTATGTATGTGCACCATGTGCATGCCTGTTGTCAGTGGAGGCCAGAAGAGGGTTGCCTAGGTCTAGAATTAAGGATGATTATAAACTATAAAGTGGATTGGGAATTGAACCTGGGTCCTCTGCTGTGGGGGAACCCGCCCCCACTTTTTCCCCAGGGTACTCTTGAGGAGAGAGGGATAAGGGATATTAGGTAGAAAGATAGAGGGGAGAGAAACAGAAACACAGGATAGCCTCGGGAGGGCCTGGATTAATATCCACCCACCCCTTCTGTCTCTTCTAAAGGGCTTTTTACAGGAATGCCAAGGGGTGGAGCAAAAGACCTCCTCCTAGCACAGCCAAGTGCAGACCCTTCCAACCATCTGGTAACCACACATGTGGTCAAGCCATCCTCTAATGCAGCTCTGCAGGGTAAAGCAAGCTCAGATCTCACTAGGAAACCTTTATGGGTCTCCACACTCTGCAAGAGCACAAAGCCTGTGTTCTCAATTTCAAATCTTTGGCTTCTACTCTAGAAGATAAAGATTAAGTTGTGTTTTCCACATGTCTCATGGTAAACACACAGAGATGCAAGCACTCACACACTCATAAATTCTCTGCTTCACATCTCCCTATATGGCTATTGAAAGTGAGTGCAGTAAAACCACCCAATGGGTCTATGCCACAGAGAGAAGCAGTTTATTGGGGACAAACTGATGGGCTACCTCACAGGAGTAGAGAGCAGCAACTCAACCAGAAAGCAATTGGGTTTTAGACAATAGTCAGCAAGGTAGGTATTCCCAAGCCAACCACGTTATTGGGAACCAAATGTACTTTGCCCTCTTCTGTTGACCCATTAGTGGTAGAGAAGGTAAGTAGTGGCTTCTACAGAAAACTGTATCACAAGGTTTTTGAGGAATGCTGAATTTAGGATTCTGTTTTCTGTCCTGGGTTGGGCCTGAGCAGCTATTTTAGGATGTTAGCAGTGCTGTCATTTGGGGGCCTGCTATGTGACCTAACAGTGACTAGAGGCAGAAG